ATGCCAACAGGACCAATCCCTGTGCCTCCCCTCAGGTCCCCTCCCCTATGAACAGCAGCAGACTCTGCTCAATGCCGATCGGGGGATCCAGTGGTCTATCTCTAGGTTGCGGGCGCCAAGCATGCCCAGGAAGGTACATGAGGCCAACGGTGATTGAACCCACGACCTCCTGACTGCCACTTGCGAGCCTTACCAACTGAGGGCACGCTCACACTAGGTACCCAAATTCCCAAAAAATGGGAAAATGGGAACGGCCGTTTTGAGGAAATGCGGCCCTGGCCGGTCACACTGCGTTCCCAAAACGCTAAAGACAAGGTCGCTACATCGTGCTCTTCGAGGTGCTTGTGCAGGACGCCGGTCACACGCTGGATACCCAAAAGGGAAATGCAATTTTTCGTTTTTTATAATCTGCTTTTTTCCTTTTTTTTTGGGGGGGGTTCTTGACCGCTGGCCGTTTGCACCAAAAAAAGGGACACGCACGTCTGACCGCTCCGCGCGTGCCCCCATTTTCCCAAAATTCGTTTTAGTCAATTGATAGGCCGCTAATATAGTGGGGTTCCATTTTTTTTCCAATAATGCAAGATAATTCAGAAAAAGATTTGAGAATTTGCGGTAACCTCCAGAGGTCACCGCAAATTTCCTCCCCCCGCGGCTTCGCAGGCCGCTGACAAATGGTCACCCCTTTTGAGAATTTGGGCAGATGTTCAGCATGTGTGACTGTCCGGGAACCCTTTTTTTTTGGGGAAATGGGGATTTGGTACCTAGTGTGAGCGTGCCCTGAGTTAGGCCGCTGCAGCCCTAACCTTATTTCCGTATGTTCACTGAAAAAAAAATTGTACGTCCTATTCAGTGAGGAGGGGAAAAGCCGCTTTCGATCATGCTCGGTTCGAACTCATGCTCGGTTCGTACACACTCAAAAAAAAAAGTGTGTACGTCCTATTCAGTGTGTCCAGCAGAGGGTTCGCACTCATGCTCCGTTCGAACTCAAGCTCGGTTCGAACTCCTGCTCGGTTCGAATTCCTGCTCGGTTCGAACTCCTCGGTTCGATTTTGCATATGCATGTGCACCGTTTAGGGTTCGTGCACACTGAATGTTTTTTTTTCGGCTAAAAAAACAAAATCGTGCCGAGATTCATCCAGCACCGTCGGGGTAATCGCAGTTGAGTACGCCCTGAGCCACATGAGCTAAGGTTATCTTTGCAATTCGTCTTGCGTTGTAGGGGTTGTTGCTCAACCTGCCTGCCTGCTTCGCGCGTTGCCTTTGCTTCGAAAGTCCGTCTTCCGGTCGTGGCGCATCGTGACACTCTTCGACGAGGGAGTCTGGGAGATAGGGATCGCGTTCGTTAGTTGTTGACTGCCACCTTCCACAGAGGTAAGCGGCCTCCTCGTCCTGCTCGTGCCCCCCCTTCATCTTCCTCCTATCTTTCTCTTCCCTTTTCTCTGCCTCAGCTACCTGGTCGTCATAAAAAGTTATGTCGTTGTTATGACGGGGTCGGTCTTCATCGCCGACCTCCCCGTGTTCGCGGTCTCCACCATGGACCGATCTTGCGTGTCCGCCACGTGGCGCAACCAGGAGCCCTTCCTCTCCTCCTCTTTTAGCTGCTTTGTCCYCCCCCCCCCCCCTTTTCCCCCCGCGTCTTTCTCCCCGTTTCTGTACGACCTGCCTGCCGTTTGACATCTCCATATATATATATATTTATTATAAGGAAGAAGATAAAAAACCGAATTCATTTTTTCTTGTTTTTCTTTTTCCCTTTTTGTTCGCATTTGCGCTCTGATACGGCATGCAGGTCGTTCAGGAAGGGGGGGAAAGACGCGGGGGGGAGTCTGCTTCTTCGCGCGTCGACTGCGACATGTCGGCGTCCTCAACTCGCACGGCGCATCCCCTCCTGCGTCCTCCTCTCCCCCCCTTCTCCCTCCTCCTCCTCCGTCCTCCTCTCCCCCCGCTTCTCCCTCCTCCTCCTCCGTCCTCCTCCCCCCACCTTCATCCTCCTCCTCCGTCCTCCTCCCCCGTTCCCCCCCCCCCTTGCCCCCAGCTTCCCTGCATGTTTTTTTCTCCTCCGTCGTCCTTTCACTCGACTTTGATGACGCCATGCCCACTCTCCTACGGTAGTTCTTCGTTGGCTCCGATGTCACGTTGCAGGGATGAGCACCCTCCCTGTCCCGCTCTGCCCACCCAACCCCCTCTCCACCTTCCCCTCCTCCTCCTTCTCCTCCTCCTCCTCCCCCGCCTTCCAGTCGCCGTCCCGTGTTATTATCACTGAAGAAGGGTTCTATCGACGGAAAAACGAAGGGCTCCTATCGACGGAAAAAGGAAGGGGTTGTATCGACCGAAAAAGGAAAGGGTTTCTATCGACGGAAAAAGGAAGGGGTTCTATCGACGGAAAAAGCAAGTGGACTTCCGCTCCGTCCCGATCGGTCTGCTATTACTATATGATCCCAGCGTGACTGCCACGTGGCATGTCGCAGCCCTGCCGTCCTCCTCGTCATCCCTCTGCAAGTCCTCGTCCACGTGGCAGCGTGACTGCCACGTGGCATGTCGCAGCCCTGCCGTCCTCCTCCTCCTCCATCGTCTTATCCATGTCCTCCTCCTTTTCCATTTGCTAGTCTCACCGCTTCTCCCCCTCTCGCCCGGCCGTCATCACGTGCATGCCCTAGCATCCCCTCCTCCTCCTTCTCCCTCTCCTCTCAGCTAGAGCCTACTCCGCCTTCATCCAGTCCCTACACGCTCGTTCCAAAATCTCGACCTACCCGGCCATGTGGGACAGGCCTTTCCTTTGAGAAAGTAAAAAAAAAAAGAAGGAAAAAAGTCGAGATTGGGATTCCTACACGCTCGACCAGATCACTCACCGAACGCCGATCCTGTGGGACAATGGATCGTTAACCTAACTACTGTTCTCCTCCTCCTCCTCCTCCTCCTCCCCCACCTCCTCGTCTCCTACTTGTTCGCATTCATTTGCTTCTGCCTCCTTGTGCTTCAGTGACAACGTCCCCGCCATTTCACGCGATTTCCTCACATTTGCGTCTTTGTAAATGAGTCAATTATTCAGTCCGTTAAATAATCACTCAAAACTTGCCTCCGATTTCTAGAGATCTCCTCACATATGCCTCTTCGTGAATCAATCAGTCAATCACTCACTCGCTCACTCCCTCACTCAATCAATCAATTAATCAATTAATCAATCAGTCAGTCAATCCATCCATCCATCCATCAATCATTCAATCAGACGGGCCCAGGATTTCTGTCGATATTCTCACATTTGCCTATTTTTCGTAAATCAATCAATCAATCAATAATCAGTCAATAAGTCGATCGAACGTGTCTTCCATTCTGGCGATTTCATGACATTTGCCTCTTCGTTAATCAACCAATCAACCAACCAACCAATCAATCAGTCAACAAATCAATTAATCAATCAATCAACCAATCAATCAATCAATTAATCAATCAATCAGTCTGCCTCTTTCGTTTCTTTCTTGGCGCTCTTGCACCCCCGTGCCATTAACCCCTCTCCCCTCTCCCTGCTCCCTTGTTTCTTTTTCCCGCCGGCGAGTTCGGGCCTTCCCTTTTTGTTAAAAAAATAACGGCAATCATGCGGCCTGACGATGTCGGCTCATAATTAACGCCGAAATTGCGTCCAGAAACGTCAAAGTCGAATATCCAAATGAGTATTGTTATTGCAAGCCTATGAAGATGTGCAGAATGATAGTACGGAACCAAGCACTTGGTCAGGTGTACACGGATGTGCAGAATGATAGCACGGAACCAACGCTATATTATCCTTCCTTCGCGCCCCCTTTCCCTCTGCCCCCCCC